GCCGGCAGGGGCACGTGGTGACTCTGTGCTGATGCCCACAGGCAGGGCAGATGGAGCGGTACCAGCAGGTGAAGCGGATGATGTACGAGCTGATGGAGCAGCGCTCGCAGCTGCTCTCGGGGACGCTGCCCAAGGACGAGCTCCTGCAGCTCAAGAAGGAGGTGACCGGCAAGATCGACTATGGCAACAGGTGAGAGCAGGGACGGGAGCATGGGGGGGCCGGGGCCTTTGCCCCCACCCCAGGCACAGGCTGTGTGGTGCTGAGGGACACTCGGCCCCTCTGCTGCAGTGTCCCTGATGGCCTGGCTGGCTGTCCCAGGGTGGCTGGGGACAGCAGGTGCAGCTGAGGGTGTGCAAGCCACCTAGCCAAGGGCTACCACCAGTGAGCTCTGGCTGGGGCAGGAGAGCATCAGTGGGGCAGGTGCTGCCTGGCTCTTGTCCTCTTGCCAGGGCTCTGCTGCTGGCCAGGGCCCGTTGGGATCTGTCCTGCCCCCACACCGTGCCTGCACCCCCAGACCCCATCCCAGCCCATGCCTGTGCAAGGGCAGGCGGGTCCCAGTGGGATGCACAGACCCATGTCCTGCCAGCCCAGCCGGGCACTGGGTCCTGCCTCACCCTCTCCCGGCCTCTGCAGGATCCTCGCGCTGGACCTGGTGGTGCGGGACGAGGACGAAAACATCCTGGACCCTGACAAAACCAGCATCATCAGCCTCTTCCAGGCGCACAAGAAGGCTGCGCAGACTATCACACAGCGCATCCAGGAGGAGACGGTGAGAGCCAGCGCTGGCCCCAGTATGCCGACCCCACTGTGCCGAGAGCCTGCTGCCCCACGCATGGCTGTGCCATGCCAGGGACCCTGCCGTGGGGCAGAGCAGTGGGGCTGAGCAGCCTCATGCCCCGCAGAGCCTGCAGCAGAGCGCGCTGGGCTGCAGCGCCCACCTGGCAGCTTCGCCCTCCCACAGCCTCTACCTCTGCGTGCGCAACTTCGTCTGCAACATCGGCGAGGAGGCACAGCTCTTCATGGCGCTGTATGACCCTGGCGAGCAGCGCATGATCAGGTGGGGCCCCAGCAGCGCAGGACCGGCCCTGCTGCCCGACCCCTGCCGCCGACTCGTCCGGGTGCCTGTCCCGCCACTTCCTGCAGCGTCCCCGAGTCTTGTCCTCCCTGCGCAGGGAAGCCCCTGCCCCTTCATACCCCATTGCCCACTCCTGGGCTGCCTGTCCTGCCCAGCCTGGCTGCCCGCCCAGCTCGGCATGAGCCAGCACATCTCACAGAGGGGAAAGAGGCACATCCCTTCCCGCTGCGTTTTCTCCTCCAGAGCAGGAAGGATTGTCGGCAGCGTGCAAGGTGTGCAGCCCCGTCCTGTGGGACAGCCCACGGCTCACCCTGCCCAGGGCCATGTGTGCCCGACACGGTGTGGCCCATTGTGGGTGTGCTGTGGCATGCTGCCCTGCGCTGATCTGCCCACAGCCCCATGGCAGGCAGGAGCCAGCTCAGCCCATGCTAGATCCCGGGTACTGCTGGGGCAGCGTGGCCCCATGCAAGGGACCAGCAAGCCGGTGTGCCCGGAGCACCTACGAGCTGCCTGCCCGCAGGCAGGGCTGGGTTGACAGCATCCCGCTGCTGGGGACGGCCAGGCTGGGCCAGTCTGTGTGCTGTGACTAGAGCCACTGGTTAGATGAGGGGTCTGCGTGGTGGGAACTGGCAGGGGCCAGGCACGTGAACTGGGGCCCGAGCAGCACCCTGCCCATGGCCACAGTGCTCCAGCCCACATCGTGGTGTTTGCTTGTGGGCTGCTTGCCGGCAGCCTCTGCCTGGCTGGACCCCCGCTGTGCAGGGACACGCTGAGCTCCAGCTCTGACGTCCTGGTGCCTGGCCCCTGCCGCAGGCTCCTCACCCCCTCGCCTTTCCCTCGCAGTGAGAACTATGTGATCCGCTGGGCCAGCACGGGCGTCCCCCAGGACATCGAGCTGCTCAACAACCTCAAGGCCGTCTTCACGGTGAGCGCAGACCGCTGCGGAGCAGCACTGCTGCTGCCTGCCTCTCCCCTCCTGCAGAGCTGCCTGCGCCTCCTCCCCTCCCTGCTGCCTGCAGAGGTGCCCCCCCCATTGCAACATTTCAGATGCATCCAGCACCATGTATGGGGCCCTGAGGCTCCGCCACAGCCTGCGTCCCCCTCCGAGCAGCCGAATCCCTGCTCCTTCCCACTGCTCTCTCCTTGCTGCTTGTTTCTTCTGTGCCCCCCCAGCCTGGCCAGCCCCGCGGCTCCTGCGCAGACCCCAGTCCTGGCACCAGGTTGTTGGCACCCTTGCGGCCTCCCTTCCCAGGTTTGGGGCTGCTGGGGCTGCTGTCCCGTGCCCCTGTCCCCGCTCCATCCCTCTCCTGCAGCTGGGCTCGGCAGTCCCTGGCCGCGGGCGGGAGGAGGCGCAGGCAGTGCCTGCTGACCCAGCATTTTTCCAGCTGCACCAGCAGAGCTGAGCTGACCCTCAGGATGGCCCAAGCGGAGCCGTCTCGATATGCAGATGAGCTGGGAAAATCAATGCTAATGAGCAGCATCAGCAATTCCAGTCCCCACGGCCCAGCTCCCCTGGCTCTCGCCCACCTCCGACCCCTGCCCACTGCTGGTGTTGGCCGTGTGTTCCCGTGCACTGCGGCGTGACCCTGCCCTGTGCTGCAGCCCCGCAGGAAGGTTCTCATGCAGGGGCAGCACCTGCGGGACCCGGCCCCTCCAGGGTACCTGGGGCTGGGGCACGTGGCCACCCCACCAAGCCCTACACCATGTCAGACCTGCTCCTTCCCAGGGCAGCGTGACCCCCTCGGCCGTGCTGCCTGGCCTGTGCGTGCCTCGTGGGGCCATCGGTCTCCACCAGCCCCAGCATTGTCCCCCTCACTCGGGCTTGGGGCTGCCTGGGGTGCACAGAAACCCCAGGCCCCTGGGGCAGTGGGGCTGTGTGCCCCTCCAGCCAAGCCCCTCTGCGGGGCACAGCGGCAGGGGGACTCCTCGGCCCCTGAAGGCAGAGCCGGGGCGCCAGGAGCAGGGACCTGTGGTGGCTCTGCACCCGCTGGTTCATCCTCCTGCATAGGCCCTGGTACCCCGTGGTCACCTGGCGCCAGCAGAGGCACATCCCCGCGCGGTGCTGCCAGTGCCCAGCTCACGCAGCCCCTGTCCCCCCCGCCAGGACCTGGGCAGCAAAGACCTGAAGCGGGAGAGGCTTTTCCTGGTGTGCCAGATCATCCGGGTGGGACGCATGGACCTCCGGGAGACCTACAGCCGCAAGCTCAGCACGGGCCTCCGGCGGCCCTTCGGCATCTCAGGTGAGAGTAGGGTCTGCCGTGGGTGCAGGGAGGACAGCCTCCAGCACTGTCCACGCCAACACCGCCCAGCACCCACCTCTTGGCCACTGGGCTCCATGGGGCTTGCTGGCTGTGGGGTGCAGTGGTTCGGGGCAGCAACACCCCAGGGCTGCTCCTGCCTCCGGCCAGGCAGCCCCCATCCCCACGCATGGACCCCGACCCTCACTTGCCTCTGCACAGCCGCGCTCACCCCATCCCCCCGAGCTCTCTGCCCTGTCTCCCCCACCCCAACGGGGGGGGGGCCCCCCCCAGCCGCTCCGGCAGCTGGGAAAGCCTTGGCTCCCTGCTCCTGTGACGGCTGGACCAAGTGCTTCCCCTGGCCGCCCTCGTGTCATCCCCCACGGGCTGGCCCTGCCCTACTGGGGCTGCGGCCGTGGGGCCCACGGGGATGCAATGCACCCGCCCCGGCAGAGGAGAGGGATGGGGGGGGGCAGCCATCCCTCCTTGCTGTGTGGCGTGGGGGACCCCCAGCCCGGAGGTGCCCCCCGGGAGCAGCCCTGGCCCCTCCGTGACACCTGTCCCCAGCGGAGCAGGGAGCTACCCGCCCTCTGCCTCGACCCATGGTCCTGCTCTGGGTATTAATCCCCATCAGATGAGCTTGCTAGGAAATTACTGATTTTACTTGGCTAATTAGTGTGTGCTAGGACCTCAGCCACAGAAATTACTAGGTGAATTATGAACGTATCGGTGGCTAATTGCACTCTGAGCTGAGTGTGTCCCCGGGGAGGGGCCAGATGGATTGTCCTGGTGCCCACTCTGCGGTGCCCTGTGCGTCCTGCACTAAACCCCCTGTCCGCGGGCAATGGAGAGGTTCTGGATATGGCTTATTTTGGCCAAAATCTGCCCCAGAGCTCTGAGGACACCTGTGGTGACTGTCCAGTTGGTGGCCGCACCATCTCTGCGTGCTGTTCCCAAGAGGCGCGCAGCTGCAGGGGACGCTGGGTGTGTGGTGCGAGCACCGAGCAGCCAGCTCCGCCCTGGGGCAGCTGGAGAAGCACAGGGCGAGGAGGAGAAAGCCTGAGGGGCAGGTGGCCTTCGGGCTGTGCCCCAGCACGGGACCCTTCCCTGCACTGGGGGCTGATGCTGGTGCTGCTGCAGACCCCCCCGGGAGCATTTCCCATGGGTGAGCTGTACCGGGATGCCAGGTCCCAGCCCGTGTTGGCAGCACGTCCATCCGCCACGGAGCCGTGTGGGCGTGGGGTTTCTCCCTGTTGGGAGCCCCATGCAGCTCGGTGCCGTCTGGCGCGGGGTGGCAGAGGGGTCTCAGTGGGGCACGATGACCTCCCCGTGGAGCACCAGCCGGGGCACAGCAGGGTCAGTGCTGGGGACACAGGTGAAGCGGTGGCTGCAGGACGGGACAAAACTGTCCTGGATGCTGGTCCCGGAAGGATTTGGTACGGAGGGCCCTGGCGCTGGGGGCTGGGGCCACCAGTGCCTGTGGCAGCCGCCCCACGCTGCTGCCTCTGTGCTGCTGCAGTGATGGACATCACGGACATCACCAAGGGAAAGTGCGAGAGCAACGAGGACAAGCAGCACTTCATCCCCGTGCACCTGTGAGTCCTGCGGGGCCGGGCAGCGGGCAGGGGGGCAGCGGGCAGGGGGGGCAGTGCTCCGTGGGCCTGTCTGGCACGGGGCCAGCAGCTGCAAGGGGGTAAGAGGTGCCAGGATCTAAGACAAAAGATTTTTCTGTTAAATGTGGCTTTGCAAAGGGACCATGGATCCTTGGGACATGATGTCACCAGGTCCAGGACCTCAGTGAGGTTAGAAAAGGGGTATTTCTATGGGCAGCGACGTACTCGGAGATACTGAAGCCCTGCCAGAGCTCTGCCTCCCGGCCCCTCAGGGCACACGCATGCTCAGCGTCCCAGGTCTGCTGTGGATGCCGTCCTGCACCTCCCTCTCGGCGGGCTGGAGGCCGGCAGGTTGGGGAGCCGCAGTGGGACCCGGGCTGCTGTTTGGTTTGCTGGTGGTTGGTGCCTGGCTGCGGGGAGCAGCCGCACAGGGTTCCCCATGTGCGCCCAGTGGGGAGCTCCTCCGAATCGCCCCGCTCTGGTGTTTGCAGGGTGGCTGCTGACAACGATTTTCTTCACAACATGATCAGGAAAGCAGTGGAGGGGAAGGACATCAACCACAAGGGACAAGGTAGAGCCCCCCTGCCCTGCGTGCCCCCTGTGTGCCGCAGTATGTGGTGGGGGACGGCGTGAGACCCCTCCCCAGCCCATCACGCATTTCCCTGTGGCTGCTGCTTGTGCTCGGGGTCCTGGGCTGCCCCCCGGTCCCCTGCGCTGGGGCAGCCCCCCTGTGCACTCCTCGCAGGGTCTGGGGGCTCGCTCTGGTCCCTGGCTGGCCCTCGGCCCCCTCCCGCTGCCTCCCCCAGGCTCTTGCACGCTGTCACCCGTTGAAAAACCGCAGCAGCCACGGGGGTGTGAGTTTGATCCTGGGTGTGGCTGGGGCTCGCTGTGTGAATTGTCCCCGCAACTGGGATCAGAGCCATATGGGGTGACCGGGAATTGACCACCGCTGCAGAGGGGAACCAGCCTCGCTGACAGGGCTGTCCCTCCAGGAGACGTCAGGAACGACATCTACCTGACGCTGGTGCAGGGCGATTTGACAAAGCAGGGTTCTGGGTGTCCCTGAAGATGCTGTGGGGAGACTTGAGCCAAGCGCGGAAGGACCATCCCCACCTCGTGGACCGCAGCACGGTGGTGGCACGCAAGCTGGGCTATCCAGAGGTCATCATGCCAGGCAAGCAGGGTGGCTGGTTGGACTGTCTCTGGGAGTCCCAGTGTGGGGTTACGGGGTGTCCCGCTGCAGAGGGGACCCAGCCTCGCTGACAGGGCTGTCCCCCCAGGAGACGTCAGGAACGACATCTACCTGACGCTGGTGCAGGGCGAGTTTGACAAAGGGAACAAGAAGACGCAGAAGAACGTGGAGGTGACAGTGTGCGTCTGCGACGAGTCGGGCAGCGTGGTGCAGGTACGGCAGGTGCTGGATCAGCCCTGGGGTGAGGGACTGTCCCCCACATCACCCCACCTCGGGCAGAGGGAGCAGCTCCGTAGCACGCCGATGCCAGTGTTGGTGCCAGCACGAACCAGCTGGAATAGCCTCTTTGGCTACTGGAGCCCTTGAATCTGCCCTTTAGAATAAAGATCTGGGAAAGTGGTGGGAAAGGATAGAGAGAAAATTGTCCTCCCTTGGGGACAGCCAGAACCCCTGGCCACCCCCAGAGGCCCCCGGGCATGGGGTGTCCCAGCTTTCCATCCCTGGGAGAGGCAGGAGGGGGAAGGAGCTAGGAGGTTGCCAGGAGGGCGGGGCGAGACTCAGACCCAGTTCCCCCTGCCCCAGGACTGGCTGTTGCCTTGTTTCTCTCTCTCCAGGGTGTTTGCTTTCATTTCAAACGCAATTCTCACCTGGCCCCCGAGGAACAGTCTGTGAATTGCTGAGGGTCCCGCTGGGCTGGTCCGGGAGCACAGCCCCCACCTCCTTCTCTGTCCCCGATAATGCCCTTCCCACAGGGCAATGGAAGCCAAGCCATGACCGTGCCCCGGGGGGCCGTGTGTCCCTTGCTGGCTCCCTTTAGAGGTTGCACCAGGCCTGGTGGAGGTGGAGGGGACGGGGATGGGGATGGGGAAGCTTTTTGCTGCCCCTCTGAGGCTGGCTGGGAAGGGACAGTTGGAAAGATGTCCCCGTGCCGGCTGGGTTGCTGTAAAGGGGCACCTGTGCTGGGGGCGCTCGGGTGGGGGCTGCCGTGGTGTTGGCATGGGAGAGTGGCTTGGGGGGCTGGTCCAGGTTAGCAGGGGATGCAAAATTCTTCAGCCCTTTGAGTTTATTCGATCTGGCCATGAAGCGTCTCTTCTGCTGCTGCCTTCTCTGCAGAATGTGATTTACCACGGCGTGGGAGACAAGCCGGCGAGCGAGTACCGCTCTGTGGTCTACTACCAGCAGCGGCACCAGCGGTGGATGGAGACAGTGAAGGTCTGTACCAGCCTTGGGGCGCAGGGACTGAGGTGGGACTGGGGCTGCAACCCCTTGCTCCTCCCATGCAGCAGGACTGAGCTGCTGGAGGGGACTCCCCATCAGGGCTGGCTTTTCAGGGGGCAAAGTCCGGAGGATGCGAGGTGCTGCTGGTGTCATGGCTCAACCCCTGGATGGAGAACCAGGGAGACCTGCAGCAGGGAGGCGATGTCTGCCGCCCCTGCCGACAAGCAGTGCTGGGGCAGGGGCTCCGGGTACGCTGCATTGCCAGCGGTGCTCCTGCATCGCTCCTGCCTCTCCCCGCGGGCTCATGGACGTACACCACTGGCCCTTCACAGACACCTGTGTCTCCAGTTCAGCCTTATTAATTGAAAGGAAAGCACGTGGGTTTGGATTTAAGCAACTGACAGTTCAGCACAGCCTTTGCCCAAGCACAGGGGTTCTCGGCTAGCCAGGTCACTCAGCCCGCGCCCTCCTGTCCTCATGCAGGCACATGTTCTCTCTCTCAGATTGCTGTTCCCATTGAAGATGTCCACAAGACCCACCTGAGATTCACCTTCCGGCATCGCTCCTCCAGTGACTGTAAGTATCTCCTTTCTTCAGATCTTTCTCTGCTAACTTTCCTAGCAAGGGCTGCAATGGAGGTGGGCTGTCTACAGCTCAGGGGCTGCAGGAACAGGAGGGCCCCACGAGTGGCCCTTGTCTCGCACCGTGTGGGGATACATCAGGGACGCTGGATTCACGTGTTGGAGGAAGGAAGCTGTCCCCCCTGTTCTGCTCTGTACCTGCTGCCCGTGGTGAGGCAGCAGACCTCTGGGAAAGCTGCCCCTCTTTCAGGCAGCCCC